TACCGATGCTGGGGTGGCCACAGCAGCTCCTGGCTGTTAGGGCTAGCACTATGACTGTTGCTCTTAGGGGGCAGGCTTTCTTCTTCTCCCCACCCCAACCTTAACATGCAAAGCATCTGAAGGTGGGGGGGAAATCATGGCTTTTGCCAAGATCTTGAAACTGGAGGAGGCTGGGATTGTGTTTCCAGGGAAAGTAATTATGGGTTTGGAAGTGATGTTGAGGAGCTGTACAAGGGAGGTGCCAGCCCTACCCACTCTGGTCTGAGATAAAACGCCATTTTTTCAGGTTTTCTGCTGGGGGACAAAAAAAAGAAAAAACAAAACATGGAGGGAGCATCCATTTCAAGCATCTGCCTTGGGATGTCCTGTTCTCCTTCCAAAAAGGTCCGGCTCAACTCTTTCTTTCTCCGGGGGGTTGTAATTCCAGCACCTGGTGAGTGCTGGCACCTGGCAATAGGTGCAGATACTCCAAGCCCTCCTGGGCAGGTGGGCTTGTGGTTTTTCATCAAGAAGGTTTCATCAGAGAAGTGCAGCCCTTTGGATGAACATCCTTGGATATCTGGGGTGATGCTGTGAGACCCCTCCAGGTTCTTGCCAGCTGGGCTGGTGGCTCCCATGCACCCGGATTCCCCGGGGATCCTGCCCTTTGGAGCCCTCTTGACTGGGGTCTGGGCCAGGGACACAATTTTCCAGACTTCCAGGCTTTTTGCCGGAGCTTTGGGAGCCTGAGAGGCTGGGGAAACCTGTTGATAAGGATCTGGAGGTGTCAGGGGCTTCAAGGGGTATCTGTCCTCTTGTGCCAGCAGTAGGTTTGAAGGTTTTTCCTAACCCAGACCAGAAGGCAGACTCAGGTGTGAAATCGGGGGGGGGCTTTTAAATCCTGTTTGAAAAAGGAACCACACTCAGGATGAAGGCAAAGGAGTTTAAATTCTGGAGTGGCCTGTGCCACCCAACTGGCGTTATCAAAGCCCAGGTGAAGCCCTTAGGAGATTTTTGGGATGCCCTGGGGTTTCTGCTTCAAGAAGTCAACCTTGACCCTTTGATGGGGCAGGATTTTACGCACGTGTAATTCTGCCGACCTCTGTGCTGTGCGAGAAAGGGGAAGAACAGGTCTAAACTTTTTAATAATAATAATAAAAAAAACCATTGGTGGGATAATTAAGGGAAGATTGTAGCTTTCAGCCACTTTTCAGTGTCTGTCCACCTGGAGGGAGCTGTGAACCACATCCTCCAGCCTCTGTCTTTCATTAAATAGGCAGGCTCCAACCCTGCTCTTATCCTCTTGGCAGTCTCTGAAACGCAGTCAGCTCACGGATAAAAGCAGGAGTTGTCCTGCCACGGCTGTGAGCTCTGTAAAGGTGGGTTTGAGCTGGGTAATTTTCTCTGTGTTGGCCCTGCTGTCGGTGGACACCATATCATTAGCCCCAGGAGAGGTGGTGGGGTGATGGCAGCTTTGCTGTAAGCCCTGTTAGGAAACATGGTGCAATATGCATGTTGCCGAAAAGCCTGTTTCTCCTGGCTTTACATGGTGCTCTGCTTTTGCTCACAAAGGTGGTAAGGGTGAATCTCAGCTATTTCCCAGGAATACCGTGCGCTCGGCTCTTAGATCAGGCTACAGGGAGCTGATAGCCGGGCACCGTAGGTTCCTGGGGGGGGAGGCGGGGGGGTTGTTTTTGGGTCTTATCTAATATGTCCTTTCTGGAAATCCAAGCCTGGTCTTCTGTGCTTTGGCAGGGATCAGTTCCTAGGCTTTTCCACCCCGTTTGCTGGGTTGTTGAGTTGGTCAAGCACTGTCATGGATTTTCTCTCTTCATTCTTTAGCGTGCTGAACCGCACTCCAGTGCACCTCGTCCATGAAATCATACTAGTGGATGACTTCAGTGACGATCGTAAGTGACCCTTTCTATGTTAAAAGCGAGAGGCCAAACCGAAAGAGACTGTGAGAGACTTGGATTTACGCAGGGAGGGGGGAAGAGTTTGTCAAAGTGGAAGGAAATTTAAAGCTCTGTAGGTGTGGAGAGCAAACCCCGCTGTGCCAGGTTTGCATCGCTGCGTGGAGAATTCAAATTCCAAATGATCAAACCTCTTCTCATGAAAATAATACAAGAAAAGCGCATGGCAAATCATTTTTACGCCCAGTAGACATGAATCCAATCCTTACCCGGTTGTATCCTGCTACAGCCGTGGTGTGTTTAATCTGGCTTTCAGCTGCAGCCAGGAGCAATTCTGGGTTGACACCACTGGAATTGCACAGGATAATGGTAGTCTGACCCTCCTGATGTATGCATATGTTCTGCATACGTTTATGTAGGTGGCCAGCAACTCTTGACTGATTTTTTTTCACTCATGTAAAGAGGATTTCCCACATGGGCTGCCCATTTCTGAGATGCACCATAAATAGCGCTGTACGCCACAGACAGCCCACATCCTCCTGCCATTCTCTCCCAGTTAATAGCGTGACTCAAGTGAAATCAATACGTCTGACCTCCAGCAAAAGATGGTAGCTGAAGCCCCAGGGGCTCGCAGGGAGCTACCCCAGCTAAAGACCTTGCCCAGTGAGATGGGCAAGGTCCAGTGGAAGATCCAGGTGCTGAGAGTAAGTGCTCAAAAAAACTGTCTCAGGCATGAAAAGGATGATAAAATACACCTAAGCTGAGAGGTCCGTGGCACTTACATTTCAAGGTGCTGCAAAATGTAGCCATTTACTAGGAAACGTGAAAACAAAGCCAGAGAGGTTTAAAAAAACAAAAGGATCTATGCTTTGCCTTTGGATGTTATAAATAGGCACTGCCTTGGAGAGCATTAGGGACAGATTTCATACGAGACCCACTTCTCGGCATCGACACCTCCCTGGGGAGTCGCTGAAGCCAGGGGAAGGGGTTGCAGTGATTATGGTGAGCTTTGGAGCGACTCCAGTGCATGGGGGGCCAGGCTAGGCAAGCCTGGGGACCGGCAGAGTGGCTGCGATGGAGAAAAGGAGCAGGTGCAAGGACTCGAGCTGCCGTGGCGTACAGCAGAGCAGGCTTTTTGAAGGGTGGAGAAAATAAATGCCGATTATTTGGCTAAATAGACAAAGCACTCGCCTTCTTGAAAGGAGAAAGGTTTGTAGAAATGCAGCTCCCCTCTTGCAGCACACCCGATGGCATGAGCCGGGGAGAAAGAGCAGGGCTGGGTTTAAACTCATCCCAGGGCACCAGGGGGGAGCCTGTTTCCCGTGTAACTTAGAGCAGCCCCTCGGCTACTCAAAATCAGTGCTTCTCAGCTGTCTTACATCTCCTTTCCTGTGATAGTCTGAGCCTGCTGGCATCTAGTCTGCATGCATTTACATAAAATACATGCATTTGCATAATACGCTATACACAGACGGTCAGTTTTTTCCCTGCAACCCACCCCAAGCAATTGGTGCTTTTACCTCATGCCTAGTTGTGTCTCATTTCTCACCTCTGTCTGTCCATTGACCTTTTATTCGCTGGGATGCAGTTGTTCCGCACGTGGGTTCCTGCTCTTCCCAGCAAATTTCCATCGTAGGTCCGTAGCCAACCCCTGCCACTTCTGCTCCCCTGGTGTGCACAGGGCAACGCAGCTCCGTACCTGAGTTGTTAGGGATACCAGTACAGTGATGTCTCTTGTCAACAAAGATTGCTGGAGGGGATGAAAGCACTCGGAGGAGTGTGTGGACACAGGGTGTGGATGGCGGGGATGGGGCACATGCGTGTGTTTTTATAGCGCCGAGGAAGAAGAGGCAGAGAAGTGGTGAGAGGGGTTGCGGAGGTCACGGTGTGGGTGTGTGGAGGTAGAGGGGGCTGTGATGAGCGCACCTGCCTGCAGATCCGGCTCTTGCTGGGAGAAATCCAGGTGAGGAGGGATGCTGGGGCTGCAGGCAGCACCGGGGCAAAAGCAACGGCAGCAACTGCATGTGGGATTGCAGGACCTCCCTAGCTTGGGTGTGGGTGGCTGCCCCATGGAGCTGCTGCCCCAGGTATGAGGAGCCCTCGGATGCTCCACGGGGCTCTCTTTGACCATCCCTTTCTCCTCGCTCAGGGCTCACAGGCCATCTCAGGAGGCTCCTGCCCCACCACACAGACATGCATCAAACAGCTTATGTGTTGCTTTGCAGCTACCAAAAATAGTCATTTGCATTAATGTGCAAAAACTCCGACTCTGACCACAACCGTGGCTCTTCTACGCTGACTTTACAGCATAATTCAGCTGTTCTTGGTGTAAATCTGCTGGGTTTACACTAGTTTTATGAAAACTGCTGCTCTTCCAGTTCTGATTTACGCTGCATGAGCTGAGAGGTAAGACTGTTGTGCCCCAGCAGTGCCATCACCCTAACAAGCCATCAGCCAGTCCAGGACGGGGTCCTCTCCCTGCACCCAATCTCCCCTAGGACCATTTCTGCTGCCAGAGCCACCATGAGGGCTGAGGGTGACATAACCTCCCTTTCTGTTTCCCAAGCTGACGACTGCCGCTTGTTGGGCAAGCTCCCCAAGGTGAAGTGCTTGCGGAACGGACAGCGAGAAGGTAAGAGCTGCCTGCCCACGACCCATGTGGGAAACCCAGATTTCGGGAGGCGTGAGAGTGATGGAGCCGGGTGGGGGGACCTCAGTGGAGTGGACGACAAGGGAGTTCAGCAGCTCCTGGGAACTGGGGGTCCTGATAAAAGGAGATGTGATAAAGGGCTGGGATTTGAATTGGATTCCCCCCCCCATCTCTCACTGAAAAAGATGGGGCTATTAAGATATCCAATGAGGCTCAGCTGTAGCTTATTAGCCAGAAAATCAGAACAGGCAAAACAAAGCCCCGGGTCTTATTTTTAAAGATGTTTGCTCTAATGAAAGAGAGGAGATCTGCTCCTGCTGCTTCTGTGGGATTTTTTTTTTTTTTTAATTAATTAATGATATTTGAAAGATTAAGAAGGGCTATATAGAGGCTGAATGTATGTCCTACTGGGCTGCTGCTGGCAACCTTTTGAGACATTTTCCAGCTCCCCATAGTCTGAACAGGTGTTTTCAAGTCCTGCTTTGCAGTATTAGGAAAACAAAAAACAAAGAAGTTTTTTCATGCTGAAAATCAAAGGTGTGAGTCCAGGTGTGTGTCGGGTTAGGGAGACTGAGGAGCAGAGAGGGTTTGTCTGTGGGTTCTTTCTGCAGAAGGTTTCAGCTCTGCAGGTCTGGTGTCAGGGTGGCATCACCCCCCCATGGGTCTAAGAGACATACCTGCTTTGGCCGGAGGGTAGGGGAGGTCTCCATAGACCTGCATCTCCTTCTCACCTTTCTCTCCTGTGTTATGGGGGTACATATGTGCTCGCCCCCAGCACTGGATGGACCTGCAGGTATTGGTGCTCTATAAAGCAGTCAGGATTTGGGAACCCAGCCTGGAGGGCTTACCTCACTTAATACATCATTGAAGCTGTATCCCTCAGGACATGCCAGGATTTGGGGAGGGCTGGGGTGGGTACAGCAGACCATGCCTACCCACAAGATCTTAGAAGTTGCGGAGGGAGATACAGGGACAACCTGCATTGCAGGAGGTGACCTTGGCAAATGCTGGATTGCTCCAGGCTTTGTTCTCCTGTCCCTCTCCCTCCTGCTTGGAGGCTGTTCCTTGACCCCTTTCCTCTAGGGAATTTTAATATGAAAGTCAGTGACCTCCTTCTGCATGGACCTGATGCGTGGCTGCTCCCTGAAACCCTTCTGTCTCTCTTTATCTGCACCTATCTCTCCTCGTATTACCACTGTTTCTCCTTCATGAAGAAGCTCTGCTCCCCTTGAGCAACCTGCATGTCCTCTTTTTTGCCAATGGACCATCTCCTTTCTTACGTTGCAGTTCACTTGAGCATCGGCCGCAGGCAGGAGCAGTGTTGGAAAGCCGGTTGACTCCTGTATAAATAGGAACAGAGCATCTTTAAGAGAAGTGATCTTGCTGAAGAGTCTAGTGTGAAATCCATGTGTGCAGCTGTTTTCCATGACCTCCCACTTTGTTCGTTTTTCTCTCTCACAAATGCGTGCAGCAATCCAGCTCCAGCTCTGAAGGACTCTAAATTCACTGTCAGGGCCCTGATGAGCCAAGCGGGCTCTTAGCACCTTGAGAGCCAACCCTCTTTCCTTGGTGGAAAATGTGTTCCCATTGAGCTGCAGATCAGCAGTGTCCCCAGGGTGGGAGAGAGATCTGGGGGTCACTGGGACACGGAAAGGGGCACAGCAGGGAGAAGTCAGCAGTCTTAAGAAAAACCTAATTCTGGCACGAGGTGATCCCACCCTTGACTCCCCTGGCCTTACATCTATGTTAGATTTATTACCTGCAGGGGGTTATGAAAGCATTTTGAGTCGTATTTTGCCCCAGAAGGTGACAGCAGAAATAATTGCGCAAATTAAGGATTGGCATAAATGCCATAAATCGTTAATCTTGGTGGAGCCATTTATTTGCTTTGGTGACTTTGGGAAATGGTTGGCACGCCTTGCAACGCCAGGAAGGAGGCAATGAACCCGAGCCATGTTTTATCTGAATGGGATTTAGATGGGTCAAAACCCAGGAGATGCGTGAGTGCAGGAGACCGTGCTGGAGGAGCCAGGGGACATTGCCCAGCCTTCTGGGCGGCAGCTGACTGGGTGTGTCCCTGAACAGGTCTGATCCGGTCCCGAATCCGAGGGGCAGATGTGGCACAAGCGGGAGTCCTGACCTTCCTCGACAGTCACTGTGAGGTGAATAAGGACTGGCTACTCCCTCTGCTGCAGAGGATCAAAGAGGTGAGTGCTCCTGAGAGACCAGGGCCACCCTCAGGGGATGCATCGCTGATGTCCACCTCCGCTTCCCTCTCAATGGGCATGACCACCCAACCATAACCAACTGCATGCAAGCATCCGAGTAAGAAAGCGATGAGCTTTTGGGGTGCAAAGTGGCCTTTGCTGGTCTTCCTCCACCCAGCAGCCAGGTGGGGTTGTCTCTGTGGCTGGGAGAGCGTGTAGGTGGGTGGGACAAGGTGCCTCCCAGGGCAGTGGGGCTCTAACCAGCAAGCACAGGTTGAGTGGTGAAAGGGGAATACATGGGCAGTGCTCCAGCAGAGTTTTTAATTAGGCTCATGTAAAATGCTCAGTGCCAATGATTTAAGGGAGTGACGGCTCCTTGAATAGGGGCCGAATTTAATTTCATGCAAATTAAGTGATAATAAATTGATTTAATAGGATTTAAATTCTGCTGATTTCGGAGCAGACAATGACATTCGCCTTTCGCCAGCGGCAACTCTCTCGCCAGACATGCGCACGGAGACTCCCGGCGCCTTGTTACTTGAGTCAGAGGGAGCTCTGTGCTGGTGACCTGCTGGCACGGTGCAGGGGATGAAGCCTTCAGCTCCAGTGCACACGCATGGTCCTTTCCCTTCGCTGTGCCTCATTCCTCCACCCTTGCTACACCTCTGGCTCCTGATTGCTAGTATTTATTACTCGGCAATTTTAAAACTACTGAATTATGTTGAAATAAGGGCAGCTGAGGAGCAAGGGAAAACCAAGGCGGTGGGTTATGGAGAAACCTGCTCCGCTGGTGTTCACAGTGCCCCTCATCCAAGGCGTCCTGCTTTTCACGCCTCCATACGTGATAGCTGTGCTGGCTGGGCTGTGCATCCCCTCTGTGCAGCAGCGATGGGACAGGGGGAAGAGGGGCACAGCACCAGGTCAGGTGCCTCCGTGGTGCGTGAGGGCAGTCGGTGCTGCTGGCACTCGTAGCACAGCCGGTGCTGGAGAGGTCCCAACCTTGGTTTGCAGGCTGGGCCACAGTGCTACTGATAAATGGTAATATAATGAAAATAGCCTTTTCATATTATCGATCGCAGCTCCGGTGGAATTACGAGAACACGTGCTATGATACCCAACTTGAGCCTCGTAGCTGGCCTGCCCTGGGGTGGGATTCACCACTAAACTTTACTGCATTGGTTGTTCCTCTGAGCTTTTTTAAGGCAGGCGTTCCTCGTTCTTTGCTGAAGCCCTGCTGTATTTAGCTGAGGAATATCCAGAGCAATTGCCTCTTTCCCAGGCAGAGCTCTTGATGTGTTTTGGCAGGAGAAGGGCAGCGGTGGTGGCAGGAAGGGGGCAGGCAGAGCTGCCTTCCCGCGCAGCTCCAGGACTGTGCCCCATGTTCGGCGCCCATGGGGTAGGTGAATGTGGATGCCACGTGCAGCATCGCCATAGGAGTTTCACTGCATCATGGTCTGAATATAGCATCACATGCAAACGTCACCTCTGTGAACTTCTTTTTATTTGCTCTTCTGGGTTAAATCTTTCTCTGGCTGGAAGTAAGGCCATTGGTAAGCTTGTGCTGCTGGTCATGCAGCACTTCTGCCCAGGGTCTTGCAGCCCAGCTGAAGGCAGCAAGGGAGACCTACTATGAAGAGTGTTGATGGACTTGCAAAGCAAGTGGGATCCCACTTGCTTGTTTTCTAACTGCTTGCAAAAGCTGCAGGATGAAGGCAGCGGGTCCTCGGTTTCCTTCTTCCCAGGCCCACCGTACCCATCCTTTCCATCAGGGTTAAAATATTGATCAGTGAAGTGTATGAAATGTTACTGCTGCCACCTTCAGGCTGCGCTAAAGAGGCGGCTTCCCTGTCCGACTGCTGCGGTGAGGATTAGCCGCCTAGAAAGAGTGTTTTCTTACCGTGTTACTCCTAGGAACAGTCTGCTTTGAGCTAATGTGATTTAAGTTTCAAGCAAAGGAGCGGTGAGTGCCTCGAAGCACACCCAGTGCTTTCACCACCACCAGCCACGCTGCACGACGCTTCTCTCTTTCTTTTTTTCTTGGCCAGAGTGGCTATTCCTGCAGCTTTTTGTGGTGGGAAATGCCGGAGCCCATGTGTGCTGCCATGCACCTGCATGAAGGTGCCCCTTGAGCCCCACGTTGAGCTTTTCCGGCAGCCGATGGCATCCTCCCCCAGGCCCACGCTCCCTTTCGGGTGTGGGCAGCGCGTGCCCAGCATGTGGGTTTGGAAACAAGCAGGACTAGAAAGTCGAAGAGCAAGTGAAGGGGTGTGGGGGGAAGAGAGGGGGTCTGGGGGGTCTCGGACCTGTGCCCGGGAGGGTGCGTGTTCCAGAGGGAGTGGCAGCAACAGCGCGTGTTTTGCACCAGCGTGTTTGTGAGCGTATGACTGAGGGCTGGGCACATGGCTCTTGTTTTTACTTACGGAACAAATGTCTCCAAAGCCATTAACGGTGCATTTCAACTGAGTAACTTTTCTAAAAATGTACTTATCCAGCCCAAGGTGTTTTTACCGCATGACTCAATGAGCTTGCCCCAAAACTGAATTTGCAAATGGCACTGGGATGAACCAGTGTATGGTGGGTGACCCCCACTTCCAGCTCAAGCATCCCCCCCAGTTTGGTGCTCTCCTGGGGCAGGGGGAGGCAGGTGAGGGGCAGCCTGGCCCTCTTGCTTTGCCTGATGCTGCTGTGGGGCCAGAGGAGCAACTGTGGCCTATTTTGTTTTCCATTACAAGGTCATGATGTAGAGGTTGGGAGATAAGCTGGAATCAAGGTCCTTTTCCAAGGTTGAAACGTATCCATTATCTTCAGGACCATTTTCAGAGTTTTTTCCTGTTGATTTAGTTCCATAATTTGGTTTGTTTGAGAAGTGTATTGGAGAAATGCATTCCCAGATTTTTGAGAATTTCCTGTGAAAGAGGATTGAAGATTTGGGTGTTGTTAATATTAACATGCCCCGGCATGGGAGGGTATCAAAAAACCAGAAAGGTGAGGCTGCCTATAATAAGAACTGGTGCTCAACCCAAAATAAATCATAGCAACAGCGCTGTGCTCTTGAGCATGCTCTGCTTTTCTGTTGAGGGTCAGAGAGACCTTCACGAAAGCTGAGTAAACATAAATGTCCCCATGACATGGCAGGGAAAGTGAGGCAGGGAGAAGGTTGCACTGCTGAAAGCTGCTAGCACACTGCAGTAATGCACTCAGCCAAGAGGTAGAGGGGATTTTTCTTGCAAGAAGTTGTGCCGTGCAATGAGTATAGGTGTGGAATTGAAACTGGGGAAGAGCATGGGCTAGTTAGAAGTGCTCACCAGTAAGATGCTTGAGGGGCAAGTTTTAAATGACTAGATATGATCTTTTCCCTGCAGTGTTTGGCACGCAAAGCAGATGCTTTGCTTAAAACCTTTCCCCTACCCGCAGGCAACTAAAGGGTGCTTGGGTATACTGAGCTGCGGCAGTTACAATGGGTTTGAAAGGCTCATCGCACTTGGACGTGACTTGAGTTTCTCCATGTAGTACGTAGGTACAGCAGACCTTGCCCTTTCAGTGGGTTGTTTGACTCACAGAAAGTCATGTTAAGACTTCTGACTTGACGTTGTTATGGAAATACCAAGTATTTGTCGTGCTCATTTGGAAAACGTAAGCTCAAGTCCAGCTCCCGGCTCATGGCCTTTGGTTGCTTCTTCTACAGCTGCATTTGTATACTTCTTTGTTAGGACTAATTTCTAAAACAAAGTTTTTTCCGAGCAAGAGAGCAAGCCTGTGTGTGCTCAGCTGCTTTCCTTTGCATGGCTGTGAAAAACGATTTGATCTGGCAAGGGTAAAAGTTTGAAGTTTGAGCTATAATTGGAGTTTGGGATTTTTGAAAAGAAAAAGGGAGATAAGAGACCAGTCAAAGCTGTCAGAGTCTCTTCCTCCTGTAGATATTTTTGTTCATAACTGTTTGTATAAATGTCTTTGCCCATAACAAGATGTTAATTAAATCACCACTGACTATTTAAAATAATTCGGGTCTTTTTTTTAACACTTTCACACCTTTGGCAAAATTCTAACTGTATCTCCATACTTTGTACTTTTAAAAAATGCCTGTATTTAAGCTGCTTGACTGCCTGTGGTTTTCCTCTGTTGTTTCAACTGCCTGTTTGTCGCCTGACTTCTGAAATCCAGTAAAAAGTATTTAAGGGAGGTGAAAGGGGAACACGTTGGTGAATTTGCAAAAGGCAGATGGAGCTTTGCATCCAGTCGAGTTCGGCACTGAGTACACGCACAGCCTGCCAAGACTGCAGGTGAAGCCAAAGCCGGTGAGAGATGCTAGCTCAGCGGCCCAGCAGCACGCAGTCCTCTTCCCAGGAAAGACGCTGCCTGCCTTCCCAGCCTCTCTTGCTGGCGTGCCCCTGGCTCCCAGCAATACCTCTGCTGCTTGGTGCTGCTGCCATTAATTCCTTGGTTGAACTGATGTGATGGCTGAGGAGGAAGAGGAGGCAGTGATGGGCATTTGTTCCTGACAAACCTGAATGACACCAAGACTTCCAGCCACCTGGTGTCTCCAGGAGTTTAGAGCATCCCTTGACCAGTTCGAGTGGTGTGATCTGAAGTCATGGGTCATTTCACTTCTGCTTTCCAGGATCCCACCCGAGTGGTCAGCCCCATTATTGACATCATCAACTTGGACACTTTTGCCTATGTGGCGGCTTCCTCAGACCTCAGAGGAGGTGAGTCCAAGCCGCATGCATGCCCCGTGGGCATCCATCCTGTGGTGTGAGAATGCACTGGCCCGAGGAGCTGGTGGCTCTGCACCACACTGCTGGCTCCTGCTATCTTGCAAAAAGGGCATTAGAACTGTTCAGTGCTCCCCACTGGCTGTTTTCAGGCTACTTTAGAGACAAGTAAGCGTGGCGTGAGGAATGGTGTTTGCTACAGTGGATAAGGCGGTCAAGCAGGAAAGAAGGGTCATATCAAAGCCACCCTTGGCAGCACTGAAAGCCAGGCTGCCCCAGGAGATGGGGGATGTCTAGGCAACAAATGGAGGATGCAACTGTAGCGCTTATTAGTATGCCTGTGCTATTTGTAGCATGCAATATCCATCAGAGCGTGTATCTGTGTGCACAGGGGGAAAAAGTAAGGTTTCATCAGCAGCTTTAATTCTGACTTTTCCTGCCTTTGGAGTGCTTGACTTTGCAATTGTAATGCAATGTGTTGTTTCTTGTTCATATGCAGTAGTAAAATATATTAGTCATTGGACTCTTGTCCCAAGAGCTGCGTCTTCATGGCTTGAGTCATTTGAAAGTGGGGAAAATACTCCATCAAACGTTGCTTCTGCAGCCTGCATTGCCTCCTAATCCATACCCATTTCTAATTTTCCCATGGTACTTCTCTACTTTGGTTTTAGGTTTTGACTGGAGTCTGCATTTCAAATGGGAGCAGCTTTCTCCAGAGCAGAAAGCCAAACGACTTGATCCCATCGAACCCATTAAGTAAGTCAAGAGGGGGAAGGAGGCACCTGAGGAACATGGGGCAGGACAGGCGTCTCATCTGACCTCATGCGTGTCACCATGTACCATAGCAGTGTGATATTCCTTCCAGGACAGCTCTGAACTTCTAATACCTATAGCGAGCTCCTGGCTAGCTGGGTTTTGCAGTACAGCTTCACCTCCCAACATTGAAGCCTGAGGGTGCTGCAAAGGTGGAAGGCGTATATTTATGGTTATTTGTGTTTTGGTAGTGCTAAGGAGGCTGAATATGGTTAGGGAAAAAGCCCAGTGCTCTAGACTCCTGCTTCTCTCAGCTCAGCTATCACTTAAAAATAAGGCAGTGGTCTCAGCCCACTTGATAAAATGTGGTGTCTAGTCCAGCCTTTCCAGATCAGCACTGCTCTTCTGGACCTTGCTGAAGGCTCCTCAGAAATTCAGGATGTGCAGGAGAGAGAGCAAAACTGAACAGGAGAGATGCCATCTGTCCTCATGCCGTGGGATGGAGGGAGTCCCTCATTCTGCTGAAAATCTCTCCTGGCAGCAAGCCAAGTGCTGGTGTCTTCACCCCCAGCCGTGAAGTGCTGGGGTGTGCAGCATGGAGGAGACCAGGTGTTGGAGGAAGCTCAGGGCCCCAGAAAACTCACAGGGGAGCAAAGCACTGCTGCTCCTTAGGATGCTGTTGTTAACAGGAGCTCTCGCTGGCTTCCCGAAGGCTTGCCTTGTGTTCCTGGTTGTCCTGCCACATACGGCACTATGGAGACTCCCCTGGGCACAGCAGTGACCCCAGCTCCTCCCGAGCCTACGCTAAGGCATCCACGCTGTCTGCAACTGAAAGGAGACTGAACTTGTGCCAGTAAATGGCGAGTCTCCTCGAGCTATCTTCTGGGTCTGCCCTCCCCTCCTCCATGGACCTTCTCTGTGCAGTTTTCTTAGCTAATCCAAAGGATGAAAAATAGCCCTGTTTTGAAATAAAGATCACACAGCTAGTGATGGCTTTTAAAAAGACCTTCTGAATTGGCTCTGCCTTCCCCTCCCTGGTGGAATGGTGCTCTTAATAGGCTGGCTCCAGGCAAAAAGCCCGTCTGAGTGAATAACCCCCTGAGCACTAAATGCATTTTTGATGCTGAAGCCTACAATCAGGGCTGTGAACTTTGAGCTTGTAGGAGTTGTGCTGACGGGTGCATTAGCCAGTCATTAAGTTCCAGGCAATTTATGATTGACAGCAAAATACCAAGGCAGCTGAAAGAAAGGCTCAGATGCTTTTTGAGGTGTGTTGTCCTTGTTTGGTGAGAAGGAGATACATAGGTAATGTCCTGATGATGGAAGAGGAGGCAAAGGGAAGGGCTGCTTCTGTGCATCCAGGTGCTGCAGCAGAGTTTGAGCGTGTGTCCCCTCTTCCCTTACCCATTCTGTAGGACTCCCATCATTGCCGGGGGGCTATTCGTGATTGAAAAAGCCTGGTTCAACCACCTGGGGAAGTACGACAGTGCCATGGACATCTGGGGCGGGGAGAACTTCGGTGAGTTACTCTTCTTCCTCCTACGCCTTGCTGTGTTGGCTTCTCTTCCTGAGTCATGCCAGATGGATACAAGGTCATTTTGGATTTCACTTTGAATGCTCTGCATGGTTTCCCTCACTTACATTCATAGGTTACAGTCTCAGGTGGGTAAGGGATCCAACACTTGATTGGTACTTGGGACTCCCTGCCTTCCACACTGCTTTGATTTTCTATAGGTAAATACCCTAAACCACAGAGTTTTCAGCTTTGGTGTTACCAACAGATGAGAGAACACCGCACGCACCCTCCTATTCCTTCCTGTCTTATTTTCTCATTAATAAAGCAAAGGCATGTCTTATTCCATTGTCTGACGACAGCATTTCGAAGCTATGAACTAAGGCATCAGTGCCTCCCTGAATTTGCAGAGTGCCTGAAACAGTAGCTCCATCGGCATCCTGCAAGCAGGTGGCAAAGTAACATGGCTGCTTATCCATTCCTGTATCGCTAGATGGCTGAGTGCTGCCAGGCTCTCCTTGACACTATCATTTTTCTTGCACAAAAAAAAAAAGGTTAAGAGCTGACCTAAATTCAGTCACCTCTGCACATTATCACGGGGCAAGATGGGCATTAAGGAATCTCCTGCATGCAAACCTGAGAGGGCACATGAAAGAGGTAGCAGCCTGTCCCTTGTCCCCCATGTCAAGCGGAGCTGGATCAGGCTGGGCTGTTCTCTTTGAAGCCGTAGCGATGCTGCAGATCAGAGCAATAGACTGTATCTGTGAAAGAAGGGGGAGGCACTCGATGTCAGGGAGACACATCAGAACCTGGCTTTGATAGCTCACACCTCTGGGGAGTATGGCTAGCAAGGAAGGAAGGATCTTGTGTCTTAACACATACAGCAATGCTGTCAGTCATCCAAGGGAACAGATGCTGTCGCCTTGCAGTAACCCATCCGCTGCCTAGCACTGTTGTTTCCTTCACATGCCTTTTTCCTATAGCATATTTTATTTATTTATATCTTGTTATGCAGCAGGATCTCCCGCCCTCGTGCTTTCTCTCTGTGGGTGGGTGTCTTGCTACCAGTCTGACCCAAAGCATCTGCTCTTCTGAGTGGGGTGGCTCTGAGGAAACCTAGGAGGGAGCAGCAGCCCTCCCACCTCCCCCACTGGATCAATGGCCCAGACAAAGCATTCAAGAAGGGAACTAAACAGGAGGAGAGGGACTGCCGCCCTGTGCCTGACCCGCTGTCTGTTTCTGCTCATCACTCATCTCTGACAGCAGCCAGAACGAGCTGCTCCTGGGAGATGAACAGTGACGGGGCAGCCTGCCCTCTGGGGAAGATCCATCCCGGCGGCTTGTCCAATGCCCTGCAACGGCAGGCGCGCTCCTTACGCGTGGTTATGGCCTATCCTATGGAGCGCAATGTTTCCCTTCCTGGTGCTATGCCCCAGGAGGCTGGTCCCAACCGAACATGTGCTGGCTGTGCTGCAGGGTGTAACACTGCCTCAGGGCATCGGTGTGACAAAAGGTGAGGAAGGACCTGCAACAAAAAAGTGCAGGTCTGCATAGCAGCAGGGTAGATCCCGTCTTGCCCATCGCCCTGAGAGCAGAAGCGTGCCCGGCTCAAAGCTGCGTCTCCTGCAGGCGCGGCAGTCCGTGTCCCACCTCTCCTTCGCACACAGACAAGGGCAGCTGTGATCCTGCTGGCCCCGGTCAGTTTTGGGCCGGTGACAGAGGGCGGGAGCTGACTGAACGGCTGCTCATTTTGGGCACTTGCAGTGAACCGTGCTTTTTCTGGTAGCTTAGTCCTGAGGGGATGCAGGACTCTGGTCCTGGGGAGCATCGCTGCTGCCTTTAATGTTATTGAGTGAGCAGCTAGAGGGGGCTGGAGACTTCAGGCAAAACAAAAGCAAGTGTGTTTGGGTTAGGAGGAGGACATGGTGGGTGTTTTACTTCTTAAATTTATTTAATCCCTTGTAGGTGAATTGATGAGTAACGGCAGAAGGACTTGCAGGCCAGCAAGAAGTCCTAAAAGTATTTTGCCAAGCTAGGGCCAAGCCCAGTGCGCCCCAACGCGTACTGCTCTCATCTCTCCCGGGGGTCGCTCGGAGGGGCCACCCGCACTGCAGACATCCCTTGCAGGCCAGGCAGAGGGCGCTGCCGGTTCCTGCTCCCCTGGCTCCTCTCAGCTGGCCCTGTGCCATGCCTTCACTGGTGCCTCAGTTTACCTCCTCTCAAGGCATTTAGCTCTCAGCTGCCTGTCTGGAGACCTTGTTTGTTAGTTGCCACGGATGGCTCCGTGGGTCGTCCCTACCTGCAGAAACCTGTGCTTTAATTGCCTCCCCTGGGACTGGAGCAGGGTCTGCAGGGTGCAACATGTCTGAGGCAGAGAACTCAGACTCCTCACCATCTCCTGCCTCCCGAGCACTGTGTTTTCATTCCAGTTTGCAGTGCACAGAGATCACTTCAGCTCACCTCTTCATTAGGCTTTAAATTAAGAGTAGGCAAGGACTGAACCGGTGCTCTTCTCCTGGGCTGAGCAGAAGGACCAGAGGTAGGGAAGGCATGACGCAGCAGCCACACTGCAGTTCACAGCTGCTCAGCTGATTGTCCCCTTTTATCGGGCACCCTTCTGATTTTACTCAGCTGTGCTGGCAGTGTGGCCGGCACTGTGACATACAGGCAAATGAGAGCAACAGCCATGTGCAAGGGGAACTGAGCACAGCAGCTTAGAGCGGCCACATCCTGCCGTAATCTCATTTCCCTGCATCTGTGATTAAGGTTGCTCCCAATATAGCACCAGGACATGGCACAAGGGCATATTTTATTGGCCTGTTAATACCCAGTGCTGGGGAAAGTGGTGAGGCTCCAGCTGCTGTTGCAGCTCTTGCCTGTAAACACAGCAGTGAAGGGACAGGGAGGGGATTTCTGGAAAGAAATGCTTTTCCTCCCTGCTGTGCTTTCCTACCCCAGCCTTTGCTGGCCCCTGCTGCCAGGGCCAGCTGTTGGGGATGGGCTAAAGCCTTGAATTTTGGGCCCAAGCGTCAAGGCGAAAGGGCTTTGCGGCTGTGCCAGCCTCCCATTTCCATCAGCTCAGGAGCAGGCGGGCGTGCTGGGAGCGGGGGTGGGAGCGCCGTGAAGCCAGCTCCCACCTCTGTGGCCACCTAGACCTGAGAGTAGGTGGCTTTGGAGGTCTGGGCTCCAATTCTCCTTTGCTCCCTGAAGTTGTGAGTTGTTTTTGGAGGGATGCAGCTTTGCAGGCCGGCAGTGCCTGCTGTTGGTAGAGGAGGAGTGCCCGCCTGTCCACGCTGCCCAAATGGCCTTCCCGCCACAGGTGCTTGTCTTGCCAGCATCTGACCTGGGGACAAGTCATCCTTGTGCTGTCATATGTGAGGGGACTGCCGGGAGCATGAGCTGGCAAAGCGGGTGGGTGTCCTCCTGTCTGATTTCTGTAGTTAAGGGCGGGGGGGGGGGGGGGGGTGAAGGAATATGTGGGTTTGG